AATCTATCATATTTTCGTGTTTAAAACCCAGCTGGTCACGTTTGCTGGAGCTGGAGAGACAGCGGGATAACTCAGGAGCTAAGACCATTGTGTAGATATGTGAAATACTAGATACAGTTACCACATGAATTACATAGTGAAGATAACAGAGATACTGGAATAACTAGAGACTGCTATCTCCCAAAGGGTGAGTTGGGATGCAAGTGGTGATGCAGGAGAGGGGGGGCTGGAAGGACAAAAAGTGAGAAGTGCTCTTGTTCATTGCCGCTCGTAGACTCTGCTGCATATCACATCGTCTGCTCCCATGGTCTGTAAAGAGGAGAATGTGGGTGGTTAAATACTGGCAGTTAAGTATTTCGCAGACTGTGTCATAAATGTTGATTTTAAACCTTTAAACCTCCAAATTGACCAGTTGTTAATGTCTCCAGTGGTGAATATATCACTCTGCCAAACTCTTTCGAACAAACAATTAAGGAATATTTTTAAGCAAACATGCAGCTCCTTGCAAAACACGTTATATTACTGCTGGCTTCTAAAGAGCAGTTGTAGTTTGGGGGTTTTAAAAACATGCCAGGAGTCTCTGATTTGAAAACACCCAAGCAACCATTGTTTCAAAAATAGTTATGTTTAAAGTGTGTTAAATTTGAAGCTCTGTTTTACTCCTGAGAGAACTTTAGGATGCATTCTCTGGTTGGAATGGTTAACCGGTTAATTTCATCAGATAGTTATTTTTCAGTCAACCTGTGACAGCCTGGTGAGGTTTCTTATTAAATAGAGTTCTTTCTGTGGATTTGCACCTTATTTTTCACAGAGGAGAGTTTTGGTAGCTGTCAGAAAGAAATAATTATATTCAGTAACATCGTTTTTTGTGTTTCTTTATCAGCCTTCACTTCACAAATCACTTTACGTCCCAGTTATCTGTTTGCCCTGCCCTTTCAGATTAGACACTGTTTGCACACTCCCTTCCATGACTTCAAGCGCGACACAGACGCTCTCATCTCCTGCCAGGAAAATAATTACATTGGCATTTCAGTTCTCTAAGCTCAATTATATAATTATACAATCTAAAGAAAACACTTCAGATTATAGCCTGCAAGTTCAACAGTGATTTAGTTGCACAAACGCAACATCTCTATAGAATCGTTATGCTTCTAAACTCTGGATTAGTGTATAGTTTGTGTACTGTACCAGGATCAGTTTGCCGTCATTGGTGATCTCTCGGGTCCAGGATGTTTTAGGTCCTTCTCCTTTCTGCAGAGTCTGCTCACAGCTGATCTTACTGTTGGTTTCCCAGCGTGGATGACTCTGAAGACAGATGAAGAGAGAAGGAGATAAATCTTTGGATGCATGCTAATTATTGGATGTATAGATGAATGAATGCACTGATGTATGTGACGCCATTCAGATGGAAAGGGAAATAATGGAGAGAGAAACAACAAAGGTGGAGCAGGCGATCACTGAGAAGTGATAACTTGTGATGCGCTCATCGTTACGAGAGCAAAGCGCCGGTTGCAAATGTTTGCTTTGGAGACGGACAAACAGAGGCTATGTTTGGGAAAACGGGGAAAGCAACGGGGAGAATTAGGGAGGGACGGAGGGCAGGAAGGGGCAAGAAGGGGGAACAGAGGGATGACAAGAAGTTAAAAGGGGTCGTAATGTGTGTGAAGGAGGAGAGTGTAGAATGATAGGCCTTCAGAGACTTAAGGGAGGAGTAAAGAAAGCCTATCAGTCCAAATATGATGAAAAGCCAAATGAAACAGATTGATGTCATCTGGACAGCTCCCTCCCCAAACGCATATTTATTCTATTTACTTATGTGTGTATGCAGAGAAAATAGCGCTGTGTACCGTGCAGGGGCGTCCGTCCACAGTGATCTCATTGAACTCCTGCCCCACAGTGAAAGTAATGTGGGTGGTGCGGACGGTGGTGGAGGTTTTAATGGACAGCGTCTCTCCGTTCTGCGTGATCTCCACCAGGGGCTTAGAGGCTGCCTTCACCGCAATCATACGCAGCATCATGTTCACACCTGAAAGAAAACCCACATAAATAAGACAATGATAAACTAGACAGGTATATGTAAAAAGAGATTAAGGTTTGATCAAAATGAATGCAGCTATGTCACTTTTGTGTGTGCATGCAATGTCCAGACATTTGTTACATTTATTATTATTCTTTCAGGAAGTGAAACAGACATTTCTTTCAATCCTGCACTCACACAAACTCTTCTCGTCGTTGTATGCAGGAACTTTTGCATTTGAAGCATGACAGGGAGGGGACTGCGTGTGCTTGTGTGTTTGTGTGTGTGTATGTACGTGTGCATGTACGTGTGCATGTGTGTGTGTGTGTGTGTGTGTAGCTGCTTGTTCACAGTGTCTGCCTGCACACTCAGGGTAAAAGGAGCAGCCCAGCATTGCACAGCTCTGTCCAATAATGATGACAGAGGAAACAATGAGGTCATGACCGGCACATCTGCATTCCCTCCAGACTTAATACACACACACACACACACACACACACACACACACACACACACACACACACACACACACACACACACACACACACACACACACACACACACACACACACACACACACACACACACACACACACACACACACAGACTCAAACACATGGGCTAATATGATTATTTGTACTGCCTGTAATTTAATCTGCACTGTTCTCCATTTTTCAATTACATAGCACACGTATGCTCACATACAGCGTGGGAAAAGAGAGGGAACCAGGAGCAGAGGGAGAGAGGGAAGGCAGATGGGAGGGGGGAAGTCAGACAGACGAGGGGCAGTGGTCTGTGGGTGGTGTGTGAAGATCTCAGCCCAAGTGTGAGGGGAAGTGTGTGTACGTTGTCCTGCGTGTATCTGCCGTCGAGTTGGGTTTCGCACTTCTCACCTCTCACACATTCCCACCTGTCACCATGGGTAAATATATACACACTCTGAAATGCACAGTCATTCAGCGAGCATTAGTCCAGGCTGCACACTGTATGCACTGTATGTACAGCAGACACAACACAGTATTTATGTGCAGTGTCATCACGTGCAGAACAATTTTTTCATTGTGATAGACTCATTATCACCTCTTGCATCGGGCCGCATGTTGAACAAATATCAGTGTCTTATAAACGTGTGTTTGATTTTCATATATGTAGTAGTAGTTTCACAGATTGTGTGGATACTAAGTATATGCACTCAAGTACTGCACTTAAGCTCACATTCTGCTGTACTTTGTATTGTATTGTAATAATACTTAACATTTTAAGGGTACATTTTTTACTTACTGGGTTACATTAATAGTATGTACCAGTGATACTTTAAATTAACCCAGTTAGTAAATAGCTACGTTAAATTCCCAGACACAAAGAGACTCAGTCTACTGGTACATTTAGAGGACATCAGTTGCATAGTTATATATAATTAATCTAAAGGTCAGTAAACTGATAGTGGGGTTCAACCAGCATTATAGCTCCAGAGCCCTGGTTGAACCTACAAATCTTCTTGAGGACAAAAATGTCTCCTTCCTAAAAGTGTGGATTACTTCAGGCAAACAACCGGCGAGTGGACTGAACTCTTCATGATGGCTCAGACTGAAGAGAGGAGTCAGTGTGTTCTCAAGTAACTGCCAGTTTTAGAAGTTAAAAATGACCTAAACAGACTTTTTATATTTACACAAACCTGGCCACATGAGGACACACACACACACACACACACACTCACACACACACACACACACACACACACACACACACACACACACACACACACACACACACACACACACACACACACACACACACACACACACAGATAGACAGACGGTCAGGGTTGGAGGTCAAAGAGCAGAGGGCAGAGGAAGCATTTGGGACACTGGAGGGGAGGAGGGCAGGAGTGAGGAAAGGGAGAGAGGATGGAGGGTGCTGGGTGCTGACAGGCTGCCTCCAGCTGCGCTTTGCTCCCCGATGAAGCCGAGGGGCCATTCCTCTCAGTTAGTCATGCCAATGCAGAGGGAAAGTATAGGAACACATGCTGGGATACATGTTTGTGTGTGAGAAAGAGTATTGGGTTCAACAGTGGCACTTGATGGAGTTTAACCTAAATTCTGTTGCAGATCCTCCTCAATGAATACTTTTCTTACATCTCTATACCCTCGTCTACGCCTACTTGAGCAAAAACATGCCCTCTCATTACACACGGTGCAATATCTGCCACTTTTCCATTTGTCATAGAACCTTACTTTCCGCCTGACTCACCAACACACAGGCTGAGACACAGAGAAACACAAATAGAGGGAGATAAACAGACAGTTTGAGACACATTAAATGCTAATTGGTGTGTCAGTCTAACAGGGAAGTTGGAATTTGAGCTCCCACCCATGTGGTAATGTTTCTACATTCAGAACAATAGTGCAACTTGACAGCTATTTTAATAACCTTATGCAGTTGTGTGTGTGTGTGTGTGTGTGTGTGTGTGTGTGTGTGTGTGTGTGTGTGTGTGTGTGTGTGTGTGTGTGTGTGTGTGTGTGTGTGTGTGTGTGTGTGTGTGTGTGTGTGTGTGTGTGTGTGTGTGTGAGAGAAAGAGAGAGAGAGAGAAAGAAAGAAAGAAAGAAAGAAAGAAAGGCCCTGTTGTTTGGTGTAGTCATCTCATAAACTCATCTCTCCTTGTGCGCCTACGTGATTATATGAATTCCAGGTGTGTGCTGGCAAGTCATTTCATGGGAATTGGCTACTAACGACAGACGGCTCTGACGCTGACATGCACGCGCAGAGTCACACACACGCGGCCTGTACAGACTCCATGTGCACCAGTGAAGTTACAAAACAGTGAGAAACTCAGCAGCAGGTGTTTGTCTTTTTTCCCCCTTCTGTCACATCAGATAATGATGCGACTGTCCAGCACTGTATCATGAAATAACGGTCCTCTTTAAGAAACACACACACACACACACACACACACACACACACACACACACACACGCAAGCACGCACGCACGCACACACACACAAAATCCGAGGCTGTTTTACAGACAGATGTGCTGCCGTTTGTCTCTATTGTGTTAGCAGGGGAGGCCAAAGGGGGAGAGGACGAGGGGTGATGCTGGCTGGAGGCCAAGCACTCAGTTTTGGGTTCTGCAGAATGACAAAGACCCCCTACCCATGCGGTACAGAGGGTGATCCTGGTGCACGGGCACAGAGGAAGATTTGACCTATAAATGTGCTGAGAAAGCTTCAGTTTGAGCTGACACATCTTATCTGTGTCATTACGCACAGAAATTAAAGCCACTCTTGCGCAAAAATTCAAACTGCCACATTCGGCCAGGGGTTTTTCTTTGAAATAATAACTTGAGTCACTTACCCAACTTTTTTAAGAGTTCCTCGAAGTTTTCAGAAGTCTTCATCTCCCAAGTGCCGGCGAAATCAGGGATTTTTCGCTCCATTTTAGACTGCAGGTATTTTGGGGATTAATAGGTGTACTGTCAGGTCCAAGTGTGCTCGGTGCGCGTCTTGCTTCCAAAATGCTCCAACTGTCCCTTCTGAGTCTCGTCTGGGTGTGTGTGCGCACCGGAGGTTTTATGCTCTGCGCGTCAGTTTCTGCTGCCCTCTTCCCGGGATGAGCGGACTATCAGGGCTCTGGTCTTACCTATGTGCCGGTGCACTGTATAAGTGGCTGCGCTTAATAGAATGGCACGGAGAGCTACTTGTGTAGGGATGCACACGCCCCTAAAACACGAACCCGCCCCGAAGGCCAACAGAATACCGGCAAAAGTCCTCAATGCCTCAACCTGACCACGCCCCTGAATGCAACATGTGCACTTCAGGGCTGTCCATAGAGACAGAATTGATAGACCCATCTCATCCACGCGCGTAGCTTGAAAGCCAGAGTGACCGCGCCCTGATGGTCCTGTGAGCTCTGGAGAAACCTCTTGATATAATTATATCACAATGTCGAGGTGTATGAGGTGTTTTGGCCTATGTGAGGCAGCCAGTAGGCTCATATGTCGGTTAAATTAGTGACTTCAATGCGGTTTCATTATTTGTACAAACAGGGAAGCCAGACCAGTCTGTTGACAGAACATGTCGTCTTGGCAGGGCGGTGCAAAGGAAGAACCAGTCAACTGGCAGACTGAATGGTGCAGGGTGGCAGAGTGTGTGTGCGTGTGCGTGCGTGTCTGTGAGAAGAGAGACGGAGAGGCCAAGTTCACCCCCCAGCCTCCTGTGAGCCACGGCGGTGTGTCATAAAAATAAAAGCGGTGGTAATGGGATACAGCTCCTGGCCTCGACCGGTGGGCTATCCATTTAACTGGGCCTGCGTCAGAGGAAAAATCACTCCGAACGCGGGAGGGAGGCAAAAGGGAGAGAGAGGCAGAGATTAAAATAAGAGGTGGGATTGGCGCAGGTCGGCGGGGTATCCTCGGAGCTTTCCGCCCCCCCCCCCCCCCCCCCCCCGCTGCTCGGACGGAAGAAAGGGGAAAGGAGGAGGAGATGCCGGGGCATTTGGAACCGCGCGTCAGACGGGCCTGTGGGGCAGGGTCAGGGGCCCGCGTGGTTGGAGGGAGTCCTATAAAGAGCACGCACACCCACACACACAGTGTATGTCGGCGCACGCGCACGCGCTGATGATGGATGGCAACGGGACAAAGCCGACGTTAACTATTGACTTTTGATGGATGATCCCATCCGCTACACTGCACGGCGAATTAGCGCGAGGTAAACCGGGCATCTTGGAGGAAGCCCCCCCAGCAGGCCATAGACTTCACGCACACACCCCGCTAATACACCGGCTCCATGCCAGACTTACAACAGACTCACTGACTAACAAAGGTGAATAACTGGCTCAGATTGAATCTTGGTAACGCAATACGCGCTTTTACGCACAGACATGCGTTCAAATCCAGAGCCTTGCATCGGGTCAGCTATGAGGTGTGATTTGTTTGATGTGAAGACACACACACGCACACACACGCGCACACCTACACACATACACGTCATTGGCCACACACCATGCCACAATCACAGCATGTGCTCACAAGTTCCAAATAACCGTGAGGCATGGACAGCCAACTGTAATTTCCTCTTCCACCTCCATTTCACTGTCTTTGTTCACCATTACAGCTGACTTGCATGTTTGCTCATGCAATAATGAAATAAAACAGTATAAGTAGTACAATGTAAAGGCCTGATTGGTTCACATCCACTACACATTTTATATATGAATGTAAAGCACAGCATCAGGCTGCCTCTCTACTGCTACGGTGGTCTCTGCAACATGGCCTGTTCAGATGAAGGAGAGTTGATCATGCCCAGTTTGAAAGTGACTGATGCAAACACAAAGGTTTCAATGGAGAGCTGTCCGGTGTTGGGAAAATTCATCTTCAGCCTCGCTGCAGGCTATTAGCATATTAGCATGACACAACAAGAAATGCATCAAAGGCCACTGAATCCAACAGGCAGCCCAGCGACAGCCTCACCCATCTTGTGTGCGTGCTGTCCAGAGGGGGCTTGATAAAGAGCTCTGAAATGTGTGTGATGCTGCATGTCAGCACGTGATGACAAAGCACCGCTCAGCATTCAGATGCACTCAACCGTGCTCTGCTCCTCTCAACCTTTCTCTCTGCACTCATTCCTTCCCTCCATTCCCCCTTTTCCTTTCTGCCTCTCCTTTACCTCACGCAACTTTCTCCCCCCCCCCCCCCCCCCCCCCACCCTCCTCATTTTCTTCCTCCTCCTCCTCCTGTCAAGCTTTTGTTCTTTTGTGCCGCTCTGACACATTCCTCAAACACGCTGAAGAGAAGGAGAAGGGGAAAACAGAAAGGGAGAGGATGGAAGAAAGAAAAGGGGGGAAGCGTTAGTGAGAAAGTTAGAGACTAGAGTGCAGGTCATTTTTTATCTCATTGTTGGGGAACAGGATAGGGAGAGTGAGTCAGCAAAGAGAGACAGAGAGCCAGAGAGCTTGGAGATCAAAGGCAAACAGAGAGTGACAGTGATGGAGAGCTTGAGAAACTGAGAGAATGAAGCAGATATGTAAAGAGAGACTCCTCTGTCTCTCGAGGTGTCGAGGTATTGGTTTGCTCCTCTGGTGCCAACTTTATTTCACTCATTTTCATTTCCTTATGTTCCCTTCCAACCATTATTCGCCCGTATACTGTTAGTCCTTTTGTTGTCTTCATCTCTCTGTGTTTCTCTCTCATACCTTGATCCTTGTTTGTAACTGATATACTCAACCGCCAACGCAGATATTCACATGCTTTATTACATGCAAGCCAAACAAAGAGTATTGTGACTTGTTTATAATAACATTTGTCTCTTAGCAGCCTGAGTTCATGGCAGAGTGACACCATTAAGAATGAAGACATAAACTGCAGCTTTTATTATAGTTATATTTTGTACCTCTGAAAGTACAGAAGCAACTGTTTAGATAATACTTTAATAACTTCAGTCCTTAATTGAGTAACAATTCCTAACATTGACTGTTTCCAGCATCTCCTTTGGGGAGCTTAGCTGCTGTGTCAGTTTGACATAGTTTTAGCTTTAATACCTTTATTATTATCAACAGATTTATCTACAATAAGAGTTATCAATACTTACTTTTTCATTTTTTCTATATCCATGCATTCAATGTTTTATTTTCCTGTTCTGTCCCAAATTGATCATTTTCAAAAAACTAAATCTGACATTGAGACACAGTTGCAGCAGTCGAAACCATAATAGTCTGTATTTTACTCTCTGTTTTCCTTTTGGGGGGTCTGTCTCATTTGAATCAGGCTGAACCTTGTATCAGCGCTATCCTCAGCGTGAACTCTACAATATCTCCACTCTCACTTCCTCCTGTGCTGCTTATTGTTTCCTATTTCCTCTCCCTATTCAAATGACACTTATCTGAACCGGTTGGACTGTCTACAGAACATGTATTGTCCCCAAGTTTATCTGGGTGTGGAATGGGAAACTATACATGCACCATATTAAACTTCATGCAACATTTTCTGCATGTTTTAATACGGTGCCGTCCATAGTAGATGTGGTCCTTATAACATTCATTTTTGAAAAGGAGCTCCTTGTCTGCACAAGTTAAAGTGTGTGCCTGTGAAAGTGTGTGTGATCAGCCCGTAGTAAAGTCACTCTTCAGTAGCATTCTCCACTTTATCATCCAGATGACCCCCAGTAAAAACTGCTCACCAGTAACCCTGGTAACCCTGGTAATCCCAGATGTGAACTTGACCCTGGCCTTCCTCATCGCCGACTCCTGGAAGTCATTATCAGTGGCCTTTACCCCCAGAGGAAGCCACTGGGCAAGATGTGCACATGCATGCGGACAAAAGTGCCCCGATTTACAGTATCTTTCTCTTATGATTTACTGCTGTGTCAGTGGCGGGTTAGGACCTCCCCTAGGGGTCCTGCGATAAATATGAAGGGTTGAGGGAAGATTAACTGGGCAGGAAAGGGGAAAAAACTGTTCTGCGACACAAAGTGGTGTCCTTTTCTTTAATCTGTGCCCTTTTCTTATGAAATACTGTGCCTCCTCTGTTGTCTTATATCACAGTCTGACATGCAGTAATCACTCCCACCTTATACAGCAGGATACACAGGGTTTCCTTTTAAAGGACTGTGTCCTCAACAAACAGCCACAGTGTAACACGGCCAAAAGTGTGAAGCACTGTAAGCTGCTGCCGTGCTGACCCACCAAAACCATGTGGGTTTGATTAGAGCAGAGGAGATTGTAGCGTTTACAGAATGAGGGAAAAAGATAAGAAAAGAGGAACGGAGAATGGAGATTGAAAGTGTGCATGTGCAGAATTATGTGCGGAATCACAGCTGGACAAAAATAAAAAGATTTTGGGCGCAAATATCCTATTAATTGGCAAGACAGGGCCATCTGTGTGTGAAATATGCTTTGAATGCAGCTTCGTCTACATGAATATGTGTGTGCGTGCATGCATGTTTGTATTGAAGTCTTTCTCAACCAGACATTTGTAATTCATTTATTCTCACTCTTACAGGAATCTAACAGAAAGTGTAATGCATTTCTTATAATCCTGCCCACACACGCATCTCGTCACTTTACACTGGAACTTTTGCATTGATAGCATCAGAGGGGATTTTGGATTTAGTGTGTGTTTGTGTGTGTGTGTGCGTCTGTGCATGACTCAAGCTGAGTCTTCTTGTGTACATGAGACTAGACCTCCAGATGCCTGGGCAGTTGCACCCAGACGCCTGTATTACTCACACTCTATTCCTTTTGTCCTTCACCCCCCCCGCCCTTACTTTTCCCTCCCCCTCCAGTCTTTGTGGTTCTAATTGTCACGCTCATTTGTTATGAGTTGGTCTGGATGGAGGGAGAGCGAGAGTTGAGAGAGGTTAGATTAAGAAGGAGAAAAGCTGAAGACGTGTTGAATCAAAACTAAAAACAACGTTTATTTTTCTTTAAGTTATTTTAAATTAGCTCAAAGTCGTGGTCCAGACTTCTCTTCTGTTTCTGCAGTGTTCCACTCTGCCACTGCCACCTACAGTTTAACGAGCCAAGGGCCCCTCTGAGGTGCTACGTGACAACAGCCCTGTAAAACAGCATTGTATGGACTGAATGATGCTGCATTACTTGTTCAACAGGAAGATAGGGGACAACAGAAGGGAAGGGTTTAAAGGAGGGAGGTCAAATATGTAAAGAAAGGAAGTGAAGTAGATAAAGATGTTTATGGGGATGGTCGTGTGAAGTACAGTGAGCTACAGTGGACGAGAGGATAGATGCAATGAGGGAAAGCCGAGAAAAAGAAAAGCGCTGTTTCCCATACTTTCACTGCTTTTCGCCCTATTTTATGCCCCTGTGCTGTTTTTTTTTTAAAACCAACTAAGAAGTTCAATTAAAGTGCAGCCCTGTTTTTTTTATCTTACCCCTCCTTCTTCTTGCATCCTACCGCTCTGCTCCCCCACCCCCCACCCCCACACCGCCTCTCACTCTGCACTCATTCTTTTATTCTCCCGTTGCCTTTCCTCTCTGACCCGAGTGAAGCTTGTTGTTCGCTGTTGCTTTTTCCACAGCCATGATTGTGTGTCAGCGTGTGTGTATGTGTGTAAATGTGTGCATTTGACTTTATGTGGATGTGTTTGTGTCTATGACTCTATAGTTAAATAATTCACTGGAGGTCACTCTCTGGTCACTTTCACTGTGTACGTGACCAGTGTGCGTCCCTAGAGTCTCCAGAATTGCTTAAGGGAATGGTGACATATTGATGTGTTTTATTATTTCTTCAATAGCACTCAGCAGAAATATCATACCCTGGTGCCTCGGGGCAGGAAACAAAAAAAATACCATCAAGTTTAGGTGCGTCCTGTGATCTCCTCATGATCATATGACGATTGCCAACAGCCTGTGAGAAAATAAAGTTGGAAAACTAAATTATAAACAAGCAAACACTCTCGTTGCACCAGAATCACGAGGTAGACAATTATAGAAGGAAAGGTTGTATAATGATGCGCTGTGGAAGAATGGAACGTTTTACAACATCAGGGCTGCATTTCTCTCCAAAGGATCCTCTGTGAGCTTTATTACCAGCTCAGACACGTGCAGTCAATGCACCAAATCACAATTTAACTAGCATTTCAATCTTTACCTCCACACTAAGATGCATTACTAAAGTTTCATCTGTCATTTTCTTAAATGAGACAAACTTTAATGATTTCCTTCTTCTGGAGTTGTTTCTTCTTGGTACTGAGAATATGATCAGCTTTAAAAGCAAAGACAGGCAGGTTCATCGCCTTAGAAATGACATGTTTGACCTGCCGAGGGAAGACCTCAAGTTTTTCCAGGTCTTTTTTTAGGGGTAAATAAAGATAGGTTGAAGTCACCATAGAGTTTAGTGAAAAAGGTCCAGGGTCAGGTTTAGCAGGTAACTGTCAGGGGGGCCGCAGAGCATTTAGTGCAAAGGTTACTGCGTGGCAATTAGTTTGTGAGTTTTTTTATACTGCATACTAACCCTGTCACTTTTTATTAGTATTTCTAACGTTTGTTTGAACAGGGGAATATTCAACTTTAACGAGCTGTTTGAAGTTTTAGTTACAAAGTGTTTAAGAGCAACCGGCTGTCTGAAGTAGATTGTATGTAGTCCAGCAGAGGGCGCTCTCATACTTCAGCTGGACCTATAGTCTCATTGACCTACCAGTAAAGCTAACAAATAACAATAATAAAGAGGATACTAACTACCATTTCATTAACAAAAGTAAACATTTTAAGTTATTAAGGCCACACCTGTATGACAACCTAATCTTGTAGAGGGGCCCTTAAACCAAATATAGTTTTAAAGTCTCTGTGTACACATTGTGCTTACATGGTGGCTCTCTTAATAATTCTCTTCTAACCAAATCAACTAACAAAAAATGCACTAATTACTAAGAATACAATAACAATGTACAGACAGAGCCAGGCATACTTTTCCCCCATGGCACTAAGAGGTTAATACAGTGTTGTAAGAGTTTACATTTAAAATTATGTCAGGTTTAAAGAATAAAGGAATAAGTCCATGGACCTCTAGTATGGGTATACATTCAAGAATCTGCGTGTAAAAGAGATGAATATGAAAAAAACATCTGAGACATAAGTGGTTTATTTGTGTGCTGAAACATTGGGTATTTCAAATTGATTGGATGCAAACACTGATATGAGGAAAACAACAACCTCACCAACATGAATCTAAACACAGTTTACAGTTACAGTGGTTGAGAAACTCGTTTTCTTTGACCTCTTTCTGAGAGGGGCACATCTGTGCAATACTGCCATCATCTGTGTGTCTGCAGTCTGCACATGTGGAGGCTGATTATTAGTGTGTGAGAAATTGTCTGCTGTTCTCTTTTTACTTTCCAGTCATGATATCAGTTTGTTATTGGGATTGATCATTCCTATCAGAGCACTGAGCACAACTGAGTCGACTTTACTTGTTTCTGCAGGGGTTTTTCTTGGTTATCCGGATGACTCACCCACTGTTTGCACATGTGGGTCACTGACTCCCAGCCCTATTCATAGTTTTGTTCTGGAAACTTTGACAAAAATACAAAAAAGTGGTTTAGATTGAGTTTGTATTTTAATCATGCAAGTTTTGGTACTACATGTGTATGGAAATATTTGGAAACTGTCACAAGTTCAGTCTTACATTTATTTAAGTCAGACATTTTATAGTTTTATCTTGTTCTTCTTTTTTGTCTATTTTGAAATGTATTGGTACATAACATGCTTTGTGGTCAGGGTACATTTTCTGACTGTTACAGATACCGTCAGTGCATTAAATACAATGAAATCCCTTTTGTACAGCAATGTTATACATGCTCTTCTACATAATACTATAGCTGTGAATAAAATGAAATGCCTTTAGAACACCAACTCCTCATTATCCGTCAGAGATACAAACTTACAGATAGGCACAAGCATATAATAGTGGTACAAAAATACATTTAAAAGAATGAAATTATTACAAAAATATGGTTGATATTTTGGTAATTTAGAGATTCATATAAAATACTGTTTTAAAGCCAAACACTTTCCAAATCAAATTTTCTCAAATGTGTCCAGGAGACCTATTGTCCTATCTAGTTTCTCAAGTTAATTTCGACAGTTATAAATGATAACCAGAAGAACGGATAACAAGCCGAGCCATGTCAGTTTGAAGCTGGGAGCATCACCAGTGCGTGGGTCCTGGCAGCCTTTGGCGTTGTTACTTGGTTTTAAATCTTTAGGGTTTCCTTCAAAGTGGACCGGCAGGCACTGATTGCTCAGCTCATTACAGGCCAGGATCAGATGTTTGCTTTCCTCTCTGATGCTCTTGATGCCGCATGTCCCCGTTTCGCTCCTCACTGTGACAAAGTTGAAACGCTGCCGGCTGATGCACATGTTCTCCTTGTACGTGACTCCCCCCTTGGATGTGCACACAGCCATCACCCTCTCCAGGTCGCTCGGGTGCAGGAAGGACTGGGTGGGTCTGGAACAGTCGCCGTTATTCTTGATGAAATTCATCCATTGGTTCTGGTCCAGAGTAGTAGGAGTACCAGAGGGAATGTGGCGCTTCTTGAAGTTGTTGAAGGCGTTGTTCCCTTTGGAGAGCTGGCAGGGAGCGTCGTTTATGGCAAAGGCTTGATGAACCAGCAGGAGACAGACGGAGAGAAGGGGGAAAACCCTGAGGGCAGCCATTACCCAGCAGTCCTAGAGGGAAACAAATACTACAAAGTCAAAACAGTAAGAAAAACAGCTGTTCACCTCTATCACTCTACCTACCCCTTAGTAATCATTTACCTCTTACTGTTTCTGTTCTACCACATAAGTGATAGGACACGTAGTAAAGTAAACAATGTGTGTACAACAGCTGTCTGGGAGTTTTCAAACATCAAAGCAGGATAGGATATAGACAACAGGTGCTGGATGATCACTTCCCTACCTTGTTTTGGCAGCAGTGGATGTGTCTGTGAGCTACAAGTGATTTTGAAGCTCCTGATATAAGACCTTTCTTCTGTTGTTCAGTTTCGATTCCTCATTTCTCTTCCTGTCTGAAAGGGAGGAGCCTCAACTGTGTGTGTGCATCACTGAAATATGTCCACACGGCTGTGCTTTAGAGCAAGGGGAGGCATGATGGTGTTACAGCCATAAATACTTTTTAAGGTCCAGTGAGCTATCTTTGGATAACTCAAGTGCCAAGTGCCTCAGCACTGCTGTTTGTTTTAAATGAGCAACAGCTACTGCTATGTGCTAAGCCAGCTTGCTACCTCAGTATCTTTAATTACACTTAAGTGAGTGCACACCTTGAGTACCTAGTAATGGTATTAATGTGGCTTTTATTGTGTTTTTGTAGACAAATGTCATGAATTACATTTTTAAAAATTGTATATTTTTCTTATGATTTACTTCTGTGTCAGTGGCATGTTATAGGACCTCTCCACGGGTACAATAACTCTGAAGGGTTTCAATGTAAAGGGTCGCAAATCAAAACATTTAAGAGCCACTGCTCTGTGTGACCTGACAACACAACACAACACAACAAACAGTGTAACACACACATTCACAGACAAAAGTGTGTGCAGCACTTTGCTGGCATGCGTACCCACCAAAACCATCATTGTTTGATTAGAGCAGAAAAGATGGTATGGTTTAAAGAGGGAGGGAGACCACAGGGAACTGAGGAAAAAGATAAGAAAAGAGGAAATGAGAACAAGAATGGAGATACCCATATATATATATATATACCCATGTATGTACAGGAGTATTTGTGTAATCACAGCTTGCCGAAATCCTCAAAGAATAGATTTAGTGGCATAAGTTTTGTGTTTCCTGGCACGACAGGCCAGCTGTGTGAATCCTGTAAAAGGGGCTTTGTCTACATTACTGTCAAATTGTTTCTCTATTATTATTTTACCTGGGCAAAACGACATCTTACAGGATTCAAGTATGTGCGCATTGATGCTTTTATGTGTTCCCAAATTTGAAGAGCTTCTTTCAAAGAAAATCTTCTTGTTTGTCGCTATTAAGTATCTTAAAAAGTGAAAAAGCCACTTTAATTTAACATTGACCCAGACCTCACCATCCAGTACCTACTGCTGCTTTAATGTGGCTCCTATGGTGTACTGTGTTTTTATGTAAAAGTGTTTTAATGTTTCCTATCTGGGTGATGTGTTTTTATGAATCATATTTGCACAACCAATGACACATTTCTGTCTGTCTAAATAGACAGCTATTTAGAAAAAGTTCTTAAGACATTCTTGCTGCCATGAACAGCAAGAAGGCAGGACACATAAAGTTTAATGCCAATTTATAGTTTGGTTCACAAATTGGGGTTCTCTAAACAATGTTGGTAAGGCAAGTACTTATGGGGTTATTTGTGTATTACTGTCTTTCTTTAAGATTGCATTGTAGACTTCCTGTGTGTACAATATTTCACCAATGTAATATTACTGTTTGAAAATATGATCATAACAACACACACGTAATGACAAAATCAAAGCAGGTGTGGTTCCCATTCAAGTATTTTAATGAGGTGCCCACGTTGACCAGTTATATACACAAAAGAGAAGAAAAAAAGATAATAAATGGCTCAAAAAAACACTTTCTAATAGACTTAACACATAAATATAACTTATTCATTTTCAATATAATGCCCTCAGTTGAGTTCAGAGACGTAATGTTTGGACAACATTATTTTATACTTAAAAACGCACTTTAAAAATCCCTTAAAACCTTCATCATACCTTTTCATTTGATAGTGTCAAGTCCAGGGGCAACATAAAATAATGTAATAACATAATATAGGGTATAATAGCACAGGTAAATATTCAATAAGTCTACTACATGTATTTCAGTGCAGTGTGCTTGTGTTTCAAGGCAGGAAAAATGAAATAACGGCCAAACGAGAAACAAACACAACAAAACAAAATATATATTACAGTATATACATGAACCAATCATGCATCCCAGACATTGCAAGAGCAAACCAGCCAGCAAACCAGCCAGCAAACTGATGTATTTACATGCAAACGGAAAAAAAGTCTGATACCAAAACTGCCAACATCACTAAATTTAGATGGGGAAAAAAGTGATCAGGGCAGCAGGTGATTAGTCCTGTGTCCAGTTTACTATATAAAGGTTTCCCTGTTGCCTTTCGTGACTGATTCTGCTTTCTGTCCCCAGAACAAACATGGATCAGTGATAACAACGTTGGCAAGAGGGAAGATGAAAGTATTTTGTGCGTGTATCTGGCCTGAAGTCCTGAAGTGGATCAGTAGCTATGGATCCGTCTGTGGAGAAGGTGAGGGTTCTTCTTTCTTTCCTGCTTCACAGGTCGAGTTCAGAGCCATGTCTTGTTTTTTCTCCTCCTCTGGCTCCTTCATCCTGAAACATGAAAGGGAAGAGTCATTTCCACTGCCGCTAAAATGCTGTCAGTGTAGTTTGTTCTGTTGTCCAGCAGAGGTCCCCATTTGTTAAAGAATAACCAGAAGGATGAAATTAGTTTGGCGCTCAAGTTTACTATAAGAACCACTAGCAGAGTCTTAAATGATGTTTAATTGAAGTCCATTATGAGTTGTTTTTAGTCCTCCAAGATTGAGATATGTTATAGGATAGTTGAATGGATACTTAAGTTCAGATCAGTCATGGTATGATGAACAAAGAGGGAAGAAATGCATTCATGTGGATGTATGCTGGATGTGTCTGCATCTCGAATGAGTCACGGTGTCAACGTCTCCTGGAGACTTATTTAAATAAAAAGTATTTTTGCTGACACGTTTCAAGCTGCAAAGAACCAGAACGTCAGAATCCGGTGAACATCCAGGATCTTCAGCTAAAGGTGCACTGCATCCTTAGCCAGCTGACAAAACTCTTACACCTAAAACTGCAGGACTATAGGATTCCTCTTCTTAGTATTGACTGATCTAAAACACAGGCAACACTGTGTGCCCTTGAACTTCCCCGAAAGTTTATAATATAAATATATAAAGTAATATTTTCCTTACAGTCTGCGGAATATCTTTGTGCACTGAAACTCTAATAAGAGGGGTTAAAGTCTAGAGGATAAGTCACTATGAATGGATGATTAAAGCTGGAATCTAACTTTTAGAAGTGATGGTTTTAAGGTCAAAAGTTATAATTTTGAGCGTTGACCTTGACATGGGAGCAGGCCGGCTACTGGGAAGGACGTCCCAGCTAGAGGTAGAGCTGTCACAGATCAAAAGACAGAATCACATGACCAAACACAGAGAACATCTTGGGTTTAACATTTCAAAGAGGCAGTGTGCAAAACATACTCCCTCCCCTTCTCTATAGAAGTTTTAAGTAAATGCACACGGTTGATGGACATTATGAAAGCCGATGGTTCTGTAGTGTAGGGTCTCCCTGAAGGCTCCCAAAAAACGAATCCAGGGGACTCCAAGAAAAAGAAGGGTATGATAATTTCATTGTAAGCATTTAAAGATCCAATCTCTGATCAGAAGTCTTACTATATCTTCAGTTCAAATAATAATTCATTTCTGTACAAAATAAAAATCATAGTTTTCTTAAAGGGACAGTTCACCTAAAAATCAAAATGTTTCATCTTACATGTTCTTCAGTGCTATCTATCATCTAGATAGTTTTGGTGTGATTTGTTTGAGATATCCGCAGAAAGAAAATATTTGCTATATCAAACTGCTTTTAAATGATTATTTGGAGTAACCCGTAAAGAGACATTGCTGTTAAGTTTTTCAAATGTAATTTTTTGCGCCCCGAGCGATGCAATCTGAGGGCCATCTTGTTCGAATATAATCTAAAAAAAGGCAGATATCTCCACGGCCAAAATGTCCAATACTTGAAACCTCACACCAAAACAATCTAGACTGATGAATGCAGTAAGAAAAAAATATGTGTTATTTTGTTGTGAAAGGTGAAATAGCACATATATGGGAGCTTTGTGAACCCTGATCAAAGAGTGGAAAGGTTAAATCACTGACGATGGGACCCACCACATGCTTTCATTAATGAGTGGTGGTTATGAAAGAACATTCTGGAAAACAGCCATGTTATTGCAGCAGAGGTCAGGGAATTAGATTATCCTTAGCGCTGATCTTAGGGTTGATTTTAACTTTTACGTGACCCTTACAAAGAGGATTAAAGATTTACTGACTTTTTCTATACAGGTCAACCAACGCTGTTTCGACACCAAAGCTTATATTGTTATTTGACCGAAAGCTGGTGGTGTTTTGAATCAGGACTCATCAAGTGACTGGGTTTACTCACTGGTTCCTGTTGATTATTGAAGAGGTTACCCGACCCAAAGTTTTATATAAACATCAATTTATATCAATGGGGGACACTTAATAAGAAAATAATTATCTTGTAAAATTGATATTTAGAATGAGTTATTAAGGAACTGTGACCAAACAAATAGAAGATTGGCAGGTGGATATAATATGCACAGTTTCTGCATGCTTTTGTAAATGTCTTTTTGCATTTCTTTTTACATATTGGCTCTAATATCTTTCAATTTTAGTCAATATTTGATAAGCCAATATCAGCCAAGCCCATCAGACTATCATTTATATCATGTTTTACGCATAAGTCTTTAATTTCCCCTAAAATCAAATGTTGTAAGGATTTTAAAAGGCTACATTTATATCCAGTTTTCTTCAATAACCCATTGTTTATCATGGTATTGATCTAAGATCAGCGCTTAAGGATATCTTTCAAGCACAAGAATAATTTGTCACAGTGTCAGTGCAAGTTGTGCTTCCTTGTCAGTATTAAGAGCAGGTAAACCACCTGTTTACCACAACTGATTCACGGTGGAGGAGGGTAAAAAATCTGCCAAGAGATAGGAGATGTAGAGTAAGAAGAGATGGGATACTAAGATGGCAGAGTGGTGTCCAGAAAGACAGAAATGACTTACCGTATCGTCTTTACGATGAAGCGGATGATCACTGCCAGACCGACACAGCCACACATCACTCCTATCACTATAGCTGTGACTTCACCTGCACAGGGAATACAAGTTGAAGTATTATTTGAAGTATTGCTTTTATCATTAAAACATCATAATGAGATGTAGTCTTACCAGAAGTGAGCTCCCTCCCTGATTCTACAACAGATAAAAGATTGGACACATCATTAGATCACAGTAGAGTTTTAGTCCGTACACATTTATATATTGGTTTATCTCAGCTGGTTAGTCTGCATGAAAATCGTATACTTATTCAGTTTTGCTGCCTTTGACAGCCGTGCTGATATCACAGACTTTCCAGTTCAGTCACTCACCACAATGAGCACACAAATTCTTTCTCCTTTGTCTTTGCTTACCAATCTTTCTCCCTCTTTCACTTCTCTGTGTCTCTTTTCACTCCCTTTTTTTCTCAGTTAGACTCTCGTGACAACAATGGAGTCACTGTTTAGTTTTTGCAAATCCCTTTCACTAATCAGCTAGCAAACTAACACTGCTGCCCCTCGCTTTCATAGCTACAGTGTAGTTATGACGATGAAAATATTAGGTCACAGGCTCCTCCAACAGTGCAACACAATAAAATAGATAAACACAAACAAATAGTGCAAGTTTCCACCCCTTTCTCCTTTAGTCCTGTCTCTCTCTCTTTCTAGTCCTGCCGTCCAAAGTCTCTTTCACTCGCACAGTCACCGGTAATCCCTAATATTCCCACATTTCTCTCCGCATTCCACTTTTCCCTCTCTGCATGGATTGTGCTAATTGCTAGCTTTGGTCCACCCGGCCTCCCGCTGGCTTGTTATTGGGGTTTGCATTAAAAGCAGCATGCTGCATTATAATCCACCAATTTAGAAAGGCTGTTAGACCAAAGCACATGAGTTTATAGCAGATCGGCTTTGACATTTTGCAACTGCACATTTATGCAATCTCAAATTATAATTATAGTATAGTATAAGTAGTATAAGTATGTACTCTTGGAGAGGGAAAACAGTTCAGCAATTGTCTGATTCCCAACAGAGTATGTGTTGTTCTGTATGTCTGCAGTCAACATAATGATGAATTATCTTCTCCTACATGCTCTGTCTGTCTGACCTGCAGAAAAGGAGGCGAAGACGACCCTGTGGTTGAGCGGCTGTGTCGTGCGGTAGTTGTCCTGCAGCAGCATCCTGTCTGGATCCTCAGCTTTACTCGAGTAAAGTATCGTCTCCAGCTTCAGCAGCTGTGGAGAGGTGAAGAGGAGAGGGATGAAAACGTACGTAACTGAGTAGATTGATTACTTTCACCACTTTCCAGTAATATCATAATGTTATCTTGGCAATATCCTGTTAATATTGTTACTGCTATTACTCTCTGGTAACGTTAACATTAACCCTGGTCCTGAGTGTTTCTCTGCTTCCTTGCATCATTTGCCAACTCCGAATGAGTTTAGCTGTAGGCAAGGATTGGGTTTTCTGCATGTTAATGCTAGAAGCCTAGTGCCCAAATTAGATGTTTTCAAGACCTGGTTTTTAGTTGCTAAGCCTGATATTGTTGTAGTTTCTGAAACCTGGTTAAAACCCTCTGTCACTGACACTGTTATTCAGATTGATGGATATAATGTATTCAGAGCTGATCGTAAGGGCAGAGCTGGTGGTGTTGCAATATACACTGCTGAGAAACCAGTATAGTGCTCTGTCCTTCACTCAATTTCAATTCCAAGGCAATTTGAGTTGCTAGCAGTCCAACTAACTATAGCAAATGCTCCTCTCACTGTCATTGGCTGTTATAGGCCTCCATCGGCCATCATGGATGCAACTACTAGCCTTACTGAATTGTTGTCTAAGTTTTCTTCTGAAATCATTTTATTGGGTGATTTAAATTGGGACTCGTTAAGTGATAAATCTTCACAGTTTAAGCAGGTTTGTGATTCTTTGAACTTAACTCAGCTTATTGATAGTCCCACTAGAATAAACCCTGCCAAACCCAATAACGATACCCTTATAGATGTCATTCTAACAAATGCAGCTCATAAGTATGTGTCTGTTGGTGTTTTTCCTAATGATATCAGTGACCATTGCACTATCGCTTGCGTTAGGAGCACTAAGTTGCCCAAAGCCAAGGGCCTTATTGTGCTCAGGCGCTGCTTCAAACACTTCTCTGAGCAGGCTTTCCTACACGATCTGGCGGAGGTTAAATGGCACTTCACAGCGTTAATTCCATCTGTTGATGTTGCCGTCCAATTTTTTATTGATCACTTTTTATCGATTATTAATAGACATGCCCCCCTTAGAAAATTCAGAGTTAAGAATAGGAACACTCCATGGTTTACTAGAGAACTATCTGATCTCATTCATGATCGAAATAAGCAATGGTCCTTAGCTAGAAAGTCTAACACTAGTGATGACTGGCTTCTTTTTCGTGTCCTCAGAAATAAATGTTCTGCCCTTATTAAAAAAGCTAAAGCTGATTACTATCTGAGCTTAACCACTGATTGTTTTAATGACCATTCTAAATTCTGAAAAACAATTAAATCACTTCAGAACAAGAAGGTTTCTAGTTTCCCACAAAAACTGAAGGTCAGTGATTCTTTTATTTCAGATTCAGATGGTATGTCTAATGCCTTTAATGCTCACTTCAAAAAGGCTGGTCACATTTTTGATGAGCGAAGTCATGACTCTCTAAATGGTCGTACTCACAGCCATAGTCAAGAGTTGAACTCCCCTGTTTTTGATTTCGCTTATTTCTCGGTCTCTGAAGTCTTACAGGGTTTGCACTCGATTGATCCTAAAAAGTCTGCCGGGCCTGACGGCCTTGACCGGTTCTTTTTAAAAATTGCAGCTCAGATGATAGCACAACCAGTAACTGATATTTTTAATCTCTCCCTGTCCACTCACACACTGCCAGCTGTGTGGAAGCAAGCTCTGGTATCGCCCCTCTTGAAAGCTGGTGATCCCACGGAGTTGAATAACTATCGTCCTATCTCAAATCTTTCTGTGTTATCAAAGATTCTTGAGTCCCTTGTTTCTACTCAGCTAAAACTTTTTTTAAATTCACACAACATCCTTAACCCTATGCAATCTGGATTCAGATCAAAGCACAGTACTGTGACTGCCAGTCTGAAAGTCTTAGACGATATTAAGGCTGCTTTGGATAAGAAATCAGTTTGTGTTGCATTGTTTATTGACCGAGCCAAAGCATTTGACACTGTAGATCACCACATTATGTCTAATGTTATGTTGGTGTCTCGTTTCGGTCACAATGCCATTTGCTGGTTTCAGAGTTATCTAACCGACCGTACTCAATGCGTCAGGTTGGGTAGTACTGTCTCTGACCCTGTCACCTTGGAGAAGGGAGTTCCACAGGGCTCTATCTTGGGGCCCTTGCTCTTTTTATTATATGTAAACAATATTTGTAATCAGATGCAATTTTCTACCTATCATATGTATGCTGATGACACTATTGTATACTCGTGTGCTCCTTCTCTGGATATGGCCGTTTCCAATTTAAAATCAGATTTTATCACGCTGCAGCATGCGCTTCTTGATTCTAAACTGCTATTGAACAGTAAGAAAACCAAAGCAATGCTTTTTGCTCCCAAGTCAGCGTCCTCCTCTTGCCTCTCCATTGACACCCTTGATGGCGTTTCTGTTGAGTTTGTTGATACCTACAAATATCTGGGCTTTTGGTTGGACAGTAATCTGAACTTTAAACACCATATTGAAGTTTTAACAAAAAAATTGAAATTCACTCTTGGCTTCCTTTTCAGATTTAAATGTTGTTTTTCAATTTCATCCCGTAAAAGGTTGGTCTCTGGCTTATTCCTGTCCCAGCTGGACTACGGTGATACCATTTATAGATTTGCCTGTCCCACTGTTTTGGCCAAACTTGACCCACTTTACCATGCTGCACTGCGTTATATATCAAATGCACCCTATAGGACTCATCATTGCACACTGTATAGCCTAACTGGATGGTCCTCACTTACTATGCGTAGGATGCAGCACTGGTTTTTATTAATGTATAAAGCCATTTTAGGTAAGCTTCCACTCTACATATGTGTCAGATTTGCCCCAGTTTGCGACTCTTACAACCTCAGATCCAGTGCCTGGATACGGTTCCAGGTTCCTACTGTACGGACTGAGGCTGGAAAAAGGAGTCTTTCTTATTATGGTCCTTGGTCTTGGAATGACCTTCAATCACGCCTTAAACTGAGGGCACTTGTCTCTATATCATGTTTTAAATTGAAGTTGTCTGAAGTCCTCACCACCAGCTGCTCTTGCAGTAACAAGTAGTGTACTTTTTATTGTCCTAATGTGCACAATGTAGTGACTGCTTTTTCGTCTTTTGTTTTCTTAGTTATGTTCTCTGTATTTTATATGTTTGTGTTATGTGTTATGTGTAACGTTGCTGCCTTCTTGGCCAGGTCAGCATTGAAAATGAGATTTTATCTCAATGTTTTTATCTGGTTAAATAAAGGTTAAATAAAAAAAAAATAAAAAAAAATGGACATACAAATAATTTAACTTATTGGGATGTTCCTCAAATGAGCAGAGTTTATTTATACGTGTATTTAAAAAAATAAAATGTAAAATTACTGGACTAAATCATCTTGGTATCAAGTATTGCAGCAAATCCACCAATGTATTCAATGTAAGGAATAGAAGAAGACTATTTTCAGTTTCTTTTCACCATCATCCACAACAATGCAGATTTTTGTGCTGTATTTCAACTAAATTATGCAATTAGTCGATGAGAAAACATGTTTTTTTTTTATTGTTATTAAATGTTCTATGGGGATTTGATAATGCAGCATAATAACTCGCAAAATATAATTGTATAAGGCCAATAATCAGATGCAATAAACAAACAAATATGTTAATGATAAACTTCTATATATATCGGTTGGGCTGAGAGTCTTTGTTCAGCCAATACAAAAAAGGTTTTATCTTCTATATCAAACCTCCCATTTCTAGGTAAAATCATTGAAAAAGTTGTTTTTCAATTTCTTGCATTTAAATAACTGTTTTGATGTGTTCCAATCAGGCTTTCGTCCAAACCACAGCACTGACACTACTCTTGTAAAGGTCTTCAATGACATCCACTTAAACACAGACAGTGGCAGAACTTCAGTGTTAGTATTATTAGATCTCAGTGCTGCGTTTGACACTGTTGACCACAACATATTACTAGACCGACTAGAAAACTGGGTGGGACTTTCGGCAACAGTTCTAAATTGGTTTGAATCCTACTTAAAGGACAGAAACAACTTTGTTTCTATAGGTAAATACACATCTGAGTTGACAAATATGACATGTGGGGTTCCTCAAGGCACCATCTTGGGGCCTCTTCTCTAACATCTACATGCTACCACTGGGTCAGATAATGAAAAACACCAAAATAAGTTACCATAGCTATGCGGATGACACCCAAATGCATATAACCATTTCACCAGGAGACTATGCTCCAATTCAAACACTGAGTAAGTGCATTGAACAAATCAATGACTGGATGTGTCAGAACTTTCTCCAATTAAACAAAGATAAAACTGAGGTAATGGTTTTTGGAGCCAAGGCAGAACGTATAAAAGTTAGCACTGAGCTTCAGTCTGCAATGTTCAAAACAACAGATAAAGCCAGAAATCTAGGTATAGTCGTGGACTCTGACCTGAGTTTCAACAGTCACATTAAAACAGTTACTAAATCAGCCTACTATCACCTAAAGAACATATCTAGGATTAAAAGACTAATGTCACAGCAGGATTTGGAAAAACTTGTCCATGCTTTTATCTTCAGTAGACTCGACTACTGCAATGGTGTCTTTACAGGTCTCACTAAAAAATCTATTAGAAAGCTGCAGCTGATTCAGAACGCCGCTGCTCGAGTCCTCACTAACACTAAGAAAGTGGATCACATCACTCCTGTTCTGAAGTCTTTACACTGGCTTCCTGTGTGTCAAAGAATAGATTTAAAAATATTGCTGCTGCTTTATAAAGCTTTGAATGGTTTAGGCCCAAAATACATTTCTGACCTACTGCTAAATTATGAACCATCCAGATCTCTCAGGTCTTCAGGGACTGGTCAGCTTTCTGTCCCCAGAGTCAGAACTAAACATGGAGAAGCAGCGTTCAGTTATTATGCTCCAAATATCTGGAACAAACTCCCAGAAACCTGCCGGTCCGCTGCAACTCTTACTACTTTTAAATCCAGGCTGAAGACTTATCTTTTTGCCGCTGCTTTTAATTGAAACTGAGCGGTTGTGTTTCGTTTTTGGTTAATGAACATTTGGGGCTAGTAACCCCAGGGAATCAGTGTCTGGGGACTTTGTCCTGGCTGGTTTTCTCTGTGTATGCTGATCGGTACGTATGTGCCATACAAGTGTACACAGCTCATGTTCGGAGAAACCTTAACGAAAGGCATCAGTAAAGTGGAACTTCTGTGTGAACTATTCATATCTTAAACTGCACTGTAACTTTTTATTCATGTATTTTTTTTTCTTTTAATGTTTATTTTTTATCTTTGCTTTTTAATGACTGTTTTTAAATGCCTTTTTCTGAATGTCTTTCATTTTTGTAAAGCACCTTGAATTGCCTTGTGTTGAAAGGTGCTATATAAATAAAATAAATAAAATAAATAAACTCGCCTTCTATTCAGGCATTAGACAATGTTTTCCTGCATGTTGGATCAGTTTATGTTAGAGAGGATACATTATCAACAGTGCAATCAGTGCCTGCATGTAGGTGAACACTGAGTTGAGGCTTGTTTGACTACAGAAGGATTCTGTATGCTTTAGATGAGTCTCCGTGTCTCAGCTTTACCTGTGCCGGAGAGATTTGAATCCTCTCATTGAACAGAGTCCAGGTCACACTCTGGTGGCATGGCGGTGTTGTTAGGGAGCCGTTGTAGCGAAAGTATCTCCCAAGATCCTCAGGGAGGAGGGTCTGCACGTCAAAGGCTGGGATGAACATCTTCTGATCTGCCAGTGGGTGAGAGGAAGAGAGAGAGTTTGTGGGGTCATATAGACACTAATGCCAAAGCCAAATATAAAATCAATGGCCCAAAAAATTGGTTACATTTCATGTTTTGCCTAAAGACATATGTAAATAAAAACAATATATGTTTTAATACATTTCAAATAGACCTACCAGCGTGTCTGATGCGACCCAGGTAGTTGAGGATGTTGTTAAATGCCAGGTTTGTCTCCTCACCTGTCTAGGAAACCAAAACTCAGGCTTAAATGTTTTTTTACATTTCACAAAATATTACCAATGCTACTGTTTATTTGCATCGGTTTTATTACCACAATGAGAATCCCTAAAACAGCCAGGCCGTCGCTCTGCGTCATCGCTTTGGACATGTTTGGGTAGAGCTCAGAGTTGTAGTGCACCACATGGAGCTGCAGAGGGGAAGAGACTGCTTTTATTCACAAAGGCAAGGTTGTGTGCAAACTGTTTTCTTTTAAACCCATTCCAAAAACAAAAAAGGGACGAGGACACTGAGTCCAAGCTTAATTGTCTCATTCGGTAAATAGACTACTTAGGCATGAGAGGTTCCATTTCTTCTTCTTTTTTAACTAATACTATTTATATACATTTTGTTGGTCATTTTCCCTGAGTCTGCATGGTTTTGGTCTTTTTAATCTGCTTAAATTCCCCCGTGCCTGTTCCTCTCCAGCCGGTCACCCCTGAAGAAAGCTTTGTGTTGGAAAACCTTGAGAGTGACAGACGGAGAGGAACCGAGGTGCAGAGGGGCTTTACTTTCCTCACTATTATACTCTTTCTCCGCTTTTCTCAGGTTTACAGACACAAACCAACAGAAAATAGTTCTAATTTAATTCCACCCTGTCTGTAGAGAGACTGTTTGTTCCTAATGAACGCATCATTTTGATTTGACTATTCTCACGATCAATGGATTGCTTTTATTTGGATGGTGAACTAATGGCATGCACCAGGCCAAGCCCTGCAGACCCTTTACAGTCATATATAAAACAAACAAAACATCTGATTTGTGGCGCTACAACGAGGGAATTGTTGTCATTTTTGCTAGAAAAAATACAATACGACTCACTGACATTTCAGTGAAAACAATGAAAGCTTCCTATAGACAGTTAAACCCACCTTCATATGTAGATGTGTGTGTCCTGATGAAATATAATCATGCACTGTTAAAAATCTGCAGTGTAATCCAGTTTTTATCTGCAATGAAATCTTTGTGATTCAATTGAAACTTTGTAATTATACACTTATCTCCAAAGGTTAGCAAGTTGTAATTGGAATCGTAACCCTCCCCTTTGTCTCTCTGACTGTACTTGTCTTTTGATCAGTGAGAATCATTACTGTGTGTCAATTGATAATTTAACCTTCTTTATTTTTCCTGGCCATTGCAGTAAAATCTCTTCAATTTAATTACAAGACTCTCAATTGCCTCACTACTTGACCATGACCCCCCTTTAATCTAACTGGATTTAACTGTTGACAGTGAGCTGTGTTTGAACGCACCTCTGCATCTGCGCTCATCCCGTTGATGGTGTGTTCCCCGCCCCCGTGACTCGGGCCGCCGCTGCCCCAGTGGAGGTGCATCTGCACAGCTGTGTAGAGCCAGGGCAGCCCCCCCAGTCCCATCCACTCTGGCAGCTCAATGACCGCTGGTGGAGAGAAAACAAGAGCTGTCAGAGGAACGATAACTGTACAGGAGAACTAGGTGTATGATGGGAAAGTGCATGGAGGATTATTTATTAAAAAAAATCTTAAATGTTAGATTTAGTCGTGAATTTACATATTGGGAGTGAAATGTTTGCTGCCATGTTGCCATGGACGATGGTGCAGTATAAACAGATGGAGGCTGCTGGGATAATTCTGAGAGGGTGATGTTAGGAGATGGCTGCCATAGTTACCTGTGTGTCCATTGTTGTACATAGCGAAGGGCTTGTTGCCGTGCTGGCTGTAGCCCAGAGGGGTCAGAGGTAACAAACTGGGATCATATTTCGTCTGTGTGGTCACCACTTCAACGGGGGACTGTGCATTACCAGCGCAGTCTGGGAAGTACTCCGACCACTCGGTCTGACCCACCAAGCCTTTGAAGAGACAGAAGAGGCAGTGAGGTCATCAAATCACACAGCCCACTGGCTCACTGTCGTTCAGTGAAAAGCCTCCATTGATCAGTCCCTAATTACATGAGACGGTTACTCCTGCTCCCACTATTGTTGTTGTCCATACGGTTCAATATAAAACATTTAAAAAATAGAATAATAAAAAACAAAAGTACAATATAAAAGGCATCGAGAGTATACCATAAACATATCACTGAATACACAAGGCAACTTTTTATGTTGTTGCTATGAGGATTATAACTGATTTTTTAATAATAAATTGGGGATGCTGCTTTCATTATTAGGAGTGTAACACTCAAATCAATACACTTGATTATCACATAATTTGTTCTAATGCTATTTTGATTCTCACAAACACAATTAATAATAGTTTACAAGCAAGATTGGCTCAGATTGAAAAAATAGTGGCCTATAGTGGTGTGTTTGAATCACGATATATCTCCACGCATTAAATCGTAACCCCTGTGTCAGGATAGGAATTGTACGGATTCTTACCCTGACACACTCCTGGCATTAACCCTTTGTCCTGCAAACCTTTAGACAGTTTGTGTGTGTGTGTGTGTGTCCATCCATAACCTCTGTCTCAATCCTTCCTCCCCACAGCTAAACCATTTTTTTCATTTTTGGATCATACTATCCAGACCGAAACAAATTAAATACAATTCAAATGCAGGTGAACCGCCCTTTGAACAAAGAAACTAACACGTATGAACGGCTACCAACAAAAGCAGATGATCGTGGCACTTCATAAACTAACTGAGGTTAATCTGATAATACATTTAAAAAGACGCTATCAATCAATACTGAATTATGCTTGAGCCTTAAATAAGTGCATGAAAAATATGATACTAAAATGCTGTTTAGCTAAATGACGACATGTTAAAGTTGCAAAGGTAAATCAAAAGATATTTTGAATAACAAAATAATTCAATCTTGTATTGAGTAAAATGACATTGAAGTCAGAAAATGTATTTCCTTTTTAATATGTTATTATTATGTATTACTAATATATTATATTATTTTAATAAGGTTCCTTCTTTCATTGAATATTTGTTTAATTTTACATTTATTTAAAAAATCTTAAAATGATGTACTGCAAATGAAATCCCACATAGCCAGATTTGTAAGATTTCTAATTAATGTTGACCTTTTTAAAAATGTATTTTTCCAATTTCATGTATAAACACAAGAAAATATGAATTATTTTGGTTCTCAACCATCTTAAAAGTCTGCTGAAAATCAAAGGAAAAAATGTTAAATTTAGAAAATGTCAAGATTCAAAATATGAATCACTATACAGATTGAATGGTTAAGAATCAACAGCATATAACAGGTCCTCTGCTATATAACACTAATGTCTAATGTACTAGTGTATACTGCATACTTCTGTATACTTATATAGCAAAATATGCTGTATTAATTATCATGCACCAATTGACGTGGTGAAGATTAATATTAATTGAATTGCAGATTGGACAGAGAAGTGTTATAGGGGGTGAATGAGGGAGAGAAGATATTCAGGTCCTTTTATTCACAGAACAAAAAAAGAAACTAGTCTCCCCAATTGCATGATCAAAGAAGGTTTAAAAAAGAGTGTGAAAGAAAAAGAGAGTGACATTTGAATCAAAGAAGGTGAATTTCAATGGCAAGGAGAGGAATGCTTTAGAAAACAGACAACACCAAAATGTCAGTAGTGTGCTAAAAACATCTCAAAACATATATTAGTGATCGCAGATTTTGCATATTTTAGAGTTCATAACAGGCATGCATTTGACCCCACAATGCATATATGGACTATACAGTGTTTGAAAGCCATGGCTCATTGTTTGCACACACACAATGTGAGGAGGGGACTTTACATGAGTGATATGAACACATACCACATCTCCTCCCCACTTGCCCCTCTAATCTCGCCTCTCCCCCTGCCCCTCACTGCTCTCCACAGCAAAGCCCCGACCCACGACAAGAGTGAGTCCCGCGGCCCCGCCACAGGTCGCCATGGATGTCTCCATGGTAACTGGAGGCCGAAAATTCTGCCCCCCTGTCCCTGCTCTACCTCTCCTGGCATGCCATCTCTGTCCTGAATACAGGCAAGGACACACACACACACACACACACACACGCACACACACACACACACACACACACACACACACACACACACACACACACACACACACACACACACACACACACACACACACACACATACATGATGAGGAAATGATGGAATGTGAGACTGACTCTCCTTTGATTACTTTACATAACTGTCCGTCTCTCGTGGAAAGAAACGGTGTAATTGTGCTCTTTTGCGTGACAACAAATGTTGTGCCTAACAAAACTGAATTTCCACATCAGCTGACAGCGCAGCTACGGCCCCATCATGCAATGCTGCATCACACAACACGCCTCAAACACGAACACCCTCACTCATTCACATTGAATCCCAGGGACTTTTATATTGAAGATTCTTGACGAAAACAAACCATCTGAACCAAGACACATGTCACTAAACATGTCCACTACCAATCTCTCACCACGTTTCTGCACAATACACATGCTTTTTATATCTATCATTATAAAGCCTACTATGTATGGATACCAGTGTGCACCAGTCACAGTTTGCTGTGTATTCTGTATGTACTGTACGCCGGTGTTGCTCCCCTGAATACATGCAGAGAGTGGTGGTCTGTGTGCCCCATTCATCCCCACAATGTCATTGTCCACGGCATAGGCAGCCAGTGTGTTTCCACAACACAATAAACACATAGGTTATTGTGCCCTGCAACAATACAAGGCCACGATTTGCTATGCTTTAGCTTCATCCCGTCCCATCTCCCTCTCTCTGTGCGACACCCTCATCCTCGTGCACCTGCCTCCCTCCGCCTTTCTCACTCCGTGCCTTTTCCTCGCTTTCTTCCTCTCTATCTCCCTCCTCCCCTTCATCATCTCTCTGTGGCTGCTTTTCTCGTGCCAGCTTGTTGAACTGTAACTAATACAGACAGAGAGAGAAGGAGAGGAAAACAGAGGGGCAGGGGTCGGGAGATATGAGGGGGAAAACACAAATCCTACCCAACTTACAGAAGATTTGATGATAATTTTAATGTTTGCAAAGACTCCTTATTCATTGGATAGCAGCACTTATTTTAAGTGAACGTGTGCAGGTCTTTGTTATTAGCAGACTACATTACCGCAAATCATCCTGAATTAGGAGACACAGAAATCTATCGTATAAAATACTATCCATGACGTTTGGATTTTGCTCCTGCTCTATAAAGCTCTTAATAGTCCAGTCCTAAATGATTCATTATATCTGAGATATGTCAAATGCACCCAGATCATCTTCCACTTTCTATGCCTTTTTTTATCACTCTCTGCTACACCTTTGAAGTTCCTTTGCACAAGTTGTGGTGCTACAAATAAACTTGAACTCACCAGTGTAGGTCCAGGTAATTTCCTCTGAAAAAGAACAAAAAGAGAAAAAAACTTCAGAAAAACGTTTATCTTTCAGCCATTTAAAGTTCACTGTGGTTCAAAATAGATTTTCAACAAAGAACATTTTAACGCATCACAACAAATATTATATATTTCAAATCACTCTATAATATGTAAGACTTTCATCACTTCTTATCTACTGCTGCTCCTAACATCATTACAGTTCAATTAAAGTGCTCAAGAACTCAAGTCCAACAACTAGTACTCACATTGTAACACCCAAACAAATCCACAACATCAAAACAAAACTATCTAACATGACGCTGATTATTTCGTAGATGAAAAAGCTTACCAGCAGCAGGGGCCGTCGTCCACTGGAAACACAGAAGCATAAGAAGGATACAAAGACCCAAAGAGTCCATGTTAGCCCTTCTTGCCCATACACAGAAATGAATGAAAGTGAACAGGGAGATGAGGAGCAAGTGAGAGGGAGAGAGAGGGAGAGAGAAAGAAAGGGTAGGGGGGGATACCAACTAGGTCCAGTGATCCCACCGTCCACAGCTCTGCTAAACAGCGAGAGATTGGATGTTGCATTGCTGGCTCCACTCTGACACATGGGGCATCAGATCAGTTCTCAGCCAGAGAGAGATGGGCCGAAAAGTTTGAAGGGACGAACATGGAGAGAAATCATGGACACAAAGAGGGAGCAGTGGGTGAGATCTAATTCACTGTGAGCTGCTGGGAAACTGAGGGGAACAGGGCAGAGAGAAGGAGAGAATAAAGCGCTGGGAAAAAGAGGCTACTGCAAAATGGGGTACAAAAGATGGGGATGGAGGTCAAAAATTGCATGGATGACAGGAGAGGAATGTGTGAGAAGAAGGCGTTCGTCTGGTAAAAACATGTTTCTGAATTTTTGCTATAGGTGGGTTTTATGAACATACATTTGCATCATCAGAGCATTTAAAAAAAATTAAAAGGTGTATCTTACCTTTTATACAAAGACATTCTAAAAGGGACAATTGACATACTTCTAAACAACAAAAAACAAAGACTGAGAAAACTTAAATAACACAACAACCATTACCAAAAAAAAACTGTCATCGGATAATAAACATGTCAATAATAGACAAGTCAGTACACCAGCATTTCAACTAGGCCATACAAAAAAGAACCATAATATGTATTCCACTTTAAACCAGTTAATTTCCTTTAATCTGGAATGAGTAGGAAATAACCTCATAGTGAATTGGAAGAATAGACCCCATATTCTTCCAAATATATTGGAAGGGCTTTTAAATGAAAGTCAGATGTTTTGAAGTTGTATCAGTTTAACAATACATTTCATTTATCCTTTTTTGTTCCCAAAACGTAACTAGCAAAAACTCAACATGGGAAAAAATAACTGACATAAAGAGAAGGAAAAAAGTTTTCCAAGTATGAATAGATGACTATGACGCGGTTAACAATATGTGAGCATTCAATTAAAGAGTGATCTTCCATTAATGTTGTTTTATTTGCAGAATTGTATTCTGTATACCGTTTTACGTCAGCTTAATTTGTCAATTACATTTTTCATATGAAATATAGCTAGTTAATGGACTACTTATGTTACGGACCTCCTTTATATACTGTTCATCTTATGCTGTTAATTGATTTCTCTATCTTATTTTACATTTGTAGATATTTGTAATTTTAATTGAGAGTGCTTTGGTACAATAATTGATAGTATATCATTCTGTCGTTTCTATACAAATAACATGGGATTTAAATTATTTTCAGTGGTCTGAAGAGGTCATTTCTAACCTAGTTGTGACCCCTTGTGTTGGAAACCACTGTGCTGTAGCAAAGGGCATTTCAAACAAATGACGCTATACAATAATTGTGCTAAATGTTGGCCAGTCTACGCATTTACATATTTACATAACACATATTAAATAACAGATTAAATGTATATCATGTGTTTTAATTATGTTTGTGTAGTATGACAAGTCAGAGAAGTGTGAAAAAGGTCTGTTATATTCATCCTCAATTCTGTGCACGTGCAGATGCAGTGTATGGTATTTTTATTGTGTATGAGCAATCAACTGTCATTGTTAGGATTGCATACATTTGCATCTTTCTGTGCAGGAAAATTATTTTGCATGTCGTTGTAGTCCTAAATTAAGTCGTATGTTATCAATTCACAGTTATTATTTGTTTCGATCAAAAGGTTACATAAACTGAACATAATGTGTATGCATTTATTGGACTAATCAAGGTTTGAATTAGACTGAATGCTTTGAGTCATTAAAGATGTGCAACGACTCTGACATATGGTTTGAACACGAGGGGGAGCCATCTCCACGCGACAGTCTATGGGCGCATGCTTTATATACAGTCTATGGGCGCATGGCTTATTCGGAAAAATCCACCCTAAAACTGAATTGACACTCTGCCATCACTTCATAGTGTATAACATTATTAATATTTTTAACAATAAACAACCACAACTCTGGAACTACTCCACAGTGAGCGGATAATGGAACAACGGTAGTCATTTTGATGGGAAATGGAGATTGATTGCAAAAAGTATTTGGATGGTACATACTACATACATCCCATGGCTATACTGTATCTAAGCACACGTGAGTCCTTCGCTGATTCAGTGTCAGTCAGACTGCTGAAAACTGCCACCCGATTACGTCATCAATTAAAGTTTTGCTGCATTGTTTATGTTTAGCTGTAAATTGTAAATGTAAAGGAATTTATTTAGACTTTTTCATTGAATCCATGCAATCAATGCATTTTGCAATAATTTGCACATTCAATCCTTTGGAGTATATCTGTTAATTGTGTGATTTCTATTTTATGAATCATGAGATGTTCAGTACTTAATATTTATATTTTATAATTCACTGCATTCTATTTCGCTGTAAATTACTGCTTTATTTTATTGCTATCTAACTATATTTTATTACAGTGTCCTTAAAGATTTTTTGTTTTATATTAGATTTTTTGTTTTATATGGAGAGTGTTTGTTTTATATTTTATGTATGCACCATGACATCAAGTCAAATTCCTCGTATGTGTGAACCTACCTGGCAATAAACCCGTTTCTGATTCTGATTCTGATTAATGTACCTTTTGTAGTGTTATGCAACAAAAACTATCAAGGCAAATCCCTCGGCAATAAAACAGATTCTGAATCAAAAAAATGTTTAGGGTGGATCTTCCTCCCTATAGAATATCAAATGCAGTCTTTTGATCTATAGATTACATCATATTCAGGAGTAGAGGATATATGTATCCCTTAAAATAAAATGTCAATAGGTTTACATCACCTGCTGCAATGTGTATGGTTACTCAAGAAGAGCCATTCTCGTCTTTAAATAACAGACAGGTAGATGGATGGATAGATAGATGGATGGATGGATAGATAGATAGATAGATAGATAGATAGATAGATAGATAGATAGATAGATAGATAGATAGATAGATAGATAGATAGATAGATAGATAGATAGATAGATAGATAGATAGATAGATAGATAGATAGATAGATAGATAGATAGATAGATAGATAGATAGATAGATAGATAGATAGATAGATAGATAGATAGATGGATGGATGGATGGATGGATGGATGGATGGATGGATGGATGGATGGATGGATGGATGGATGGATGGATGGATGGATGGATGGATGGATGGATGGATGGATGATAGATAGATAGATAGATAGATAGATAGATAGATAGATAGATGGATGGATGGATGGATGGATGGATGGATAGATGGATGGATGGATGGATAGATAGATAGATAGATAGATAGATAGATTTCCTATAGCCTAATTTTTGTAATCCCATCACGAGGTAATTTACGTAGAGTATTACTCTTATTTATATTATTTTTATTTAATAACAGGCCTGTAAAAATGTACGTTAACACATTCGTGACGTTATGACTAATTTCCTCACAAGAGCTCGAATCTCTGGCACTATAAATCCACAGTTGTATCTGTTCTCCGCTCCATCTTTTCACACTGTGTAGGCTACAAGGGCCCGTTCTCATTTCATCAAATGTCCCTCCTCGACTCCCCTCCTCGACTCCTATCCTCGAGACTTAGTCCCGCCCACAGGAGATGCGAGCGGAGGAGCCGAGGAGGGGAGCCGAGGAGAGAGGAGGGGAAGCAGCAGGCGGTTAGAGAAATGAGAACTCCTCTCCTCTGAGCGGTCATTTTAAAGAGACGTCCATTAATGATGACAGGAGGCACAGCAGCCCTCTGTCTGATGGACAGATGTGTTCATGATGACTTATATATTTACTTTGAATTCATTCACAGTGCGGTATAATGAGACAATAACAGGCTACAGATGCGGACATACACACAGACACACACACACACACACACACACACACACACACACACACACACACACACACACACACACACACACACACACACATATGTATATATTTATATAAATATATACAATTTCAGAATCAAACAGAGCACTCTCATAATAACGTAACACTATCAGAGACTGGATATATCCCCCCCTCTCTGATCGCTACAATGAGGGAAATAAATGACGGGCCAAAAGTTTTATTTACAAGTATTACAAGTAAGCAGAGGACACCAAACCAACTGAGACCTGTCTTCCGCTGCATCTACGCACACACTGTACCACACACACCTACACCACACACGCACCTTCAGCTCCTAAAGCATATAATCAGGCTACAGCCGTTGTGTATTTTATTATGTGAAGCACTAAATGGTTTTAGAAAAATATCGACTTTGTTTGTAGATATCTACTAAACTAAAGCAAATAAAGAGAGTAGGCCTGTTATACTGAGTGACATATATTATACACACTGCTCTGCTTTCTGCACGGACCTCACAGCTGTTCTCACTGTAAACATCGCGTCGCGATGAAAGCAGTTAATAAAATAATATCCAGGGGATGCATGCAGAGCTGTCATTGGCTGAGATAAGTCCGGCTGTGCGTCTCGACTCTTTGAAACATCACTGTTGCCGGAAATGCATCCACGAAGGAGCCGTGGAGGACCGTGGAGGACCCATCAGTGTATCCTCGGTTATAGCTCCTCCAGAGAGCCTCCTTGACGCTCGATGCTCGGTCCTCGATGTGCATTTCGAGAAATGAGATGTCCTTCAACATGGCGCGCTAAAATTCATTTCCGGGTCACTACCGGAGGACCGAGGAGTCGAGGAGTCGAGGAGGGACATTTGATGAAATGAGAATGGGCCCAAGTCGGTCAAACGTGAAGCACTTCAGCCAAATTATGCAACAGCGAGAACCTTTGCGGGCCTCCCATTGGTCGCTCATGAGCCCATTGAGGGGCGTGGTTTGAGAACATGTCTACACGCTATTGGCCGCACGTGGACTGGATCATATTGTCTATGTGTATATAATGTAAAAAAAGCTTGAAGGATTTGGTATTGACAGTGACATATAACATGTTTAATGCTGCACATTTGTAAACAATTATCTATTAATACTGTGCCTGCTTGTCGGTGCATTAAATATAAACCAGTC